GTGCCTTGGTGTGGGTTGGGTTGGTTGAAGCTGCTCATCTCTTCAGCTCTCCTGTAAGCAAGGGTGGCTGAAGGCAAAGTTTTGTGTCCTCAGGGCATTTTTCTTGTGCCTCTGAATGTCTGAGTGGCAGTGGCTGCCCCTGTGGCTGGTGACATTCCTGGCTCGTGGCTGGCCTCTGCATTCCAGCCCTGTTTCCTCTTAACCTGCCTGCCCCCTACACCCAGCCCAAGCTGTGCTAGGGGGAAAGGAGAGGAAATGAAATGTGATTTCTGTATTGCTCTGAGGATTTAAAGGCTGCTTCTGTTTTCTTCATTTGCTTTTTGCAAACCAGAGCTTTCTTAGTGGCTCTGGGAAGGGATGCAGTGTCAGGGTGAGCCCCAAAAAAACTCCTCCTGTCATCTGTGAGATCAGAAGGAGCTGGGAAAGGCAGGAACATCCTTTTCCCAACCCACAGGAGCAGGTTAATGGTACAAACTGGGGACCATGCCTAGATTTATCCATAAAATGTCACTTAATTGGGAAATGGGCAGATAAAATTCCCTCCACACATCCCCAGAGCACAGTTAGGAGCTTTGCAGGAAAATGTGCCTCCAGCTGTGTGTCTTCAGTGCCTGGGAGGTTCAGGGGTTGTTATTTTTTATTCTCCTCCCTGCCCCTCCTCAGGTGACATTTTTTAGTCGTGGTGCAAATTGCCTTAATCTGAAGATGACAAGTTCCAGTAATAAAAGTAGCAGCAAGTCCTCCTCTCTTCAAGTAATTATGTCCCTGCCTCCTGTCCCCATTTGTCACCCTGCTGCAGGAGCCCCTTGATGCTGCCACAGCCGTGTAATTTCTCTGTATGAATATTCCATGATGAAAACGGGACAGATGGCTGGAAATTCTGCTGCAGAATAACATTTTCATGTCAATTATGCACTGTTTTGGCTTTACGTGGGGAGAGCAAAAGTGGCTATCAAGATGTGCTCGACTAATTGTCAGCCCATCAGCAATTAGTTGCTTCCCTCACTCCTCCTTCCATCTCCCCAGGAGCAGGAAGGCAGCAGGAGGGAAGGTGAATTTTCAGCTGCTGGGAATCAGTGTGCTTTCACTGATTTTTATTTTTAACACCAAAAATAAAATGGGCCTGTCCCATTCCCAGCAGCACATCCTCCTTTCTCCTGCCTCTTCTGTTGTGATGTTTTCGGTGATGCTGAATTAGCAAGTCCCTGGCTTGGCTGCTGCTTCCTCGAAAACTCAGCACAAGTTAATGGAGTGTTTTTATAAATATGTTTATAAAAAACACCACTGAACGTCTGTCTCTCAAAATAACTTGGGTGCCAGCACGTTCAGGCTGTGGGCTGACAAATCTGGGAATGTTTGCACTCTTCCTGAGGGGCTGTGTGAAGTAGAATCTCTTGCCCCACCAGTTCCCCTGGGAAGAGGGAGGGAGGGACTGACAAGCCCAGTTTTTTGGCAGAAGTCAACAGTTAGAATGCTCAGGGAGGTAATTTCTATTTAAAAACAAGAATTTGCAGAGTTAGGAGCGCTTGGACAGCCTGAGGTGGTATTTGGTGGAGCTGAGCTGCCAGGGGTGGGTTTGGTGCTGTCCTTGGAGCTTCCCCTCCTCTGCTTTCTTCCATCTCCTTCCAAAATTCTCTGTACAGAAATATTGAAAGCATTTTCCCACTGCTCCCTCCTCACGCTGATTTCTGTGTCTCCTCCCCAGGTCAGAGGACAGACTGCGCCCTGGCCAGGTAGGTGTGGCTCAGGGAATTGTGTTTTTAAGGAAAATCTGATGCAAATTGGTCATTCCAGATCAGTTACCAGCCCATGATATGTGTCTGTTAGAAAAATACATTGATTTACAGTCACAGAGTGGAATCATGGAGTGATTTGGGTGGGAAGGGACATTAAAGCTCATCCAGTGCCACCTTCCACTGTGCCAGGCTGCTCCAAATCCATCCAACCTGGCCTGGAACACTTCTAGAGATGGGGCAGGAATTTAATAA